AACAAAAAAATTTATTTTTTACTTAGTTTGACCTATTTCAAGAAAATCTCATATCAACTTGAATGATAAATAATTTAATTAATAGTTTACTTATATTTATAAATTATTAATTTATTAATTAGAATGGTAAAATTTTAATAATCATTTAAAATAAATAATTATTCAAATAATGAAATAATAAAAACAGTGATCTTAGGTAATTCCTCAGAAAAAAAATAATGATTATTATTGAAATGTTGAGAATTTTTAAATTTTTAAAAATCACAATTTATTTTGTATTTAGAAATGCATAGAAACTTTTTGTTTATATTTAAGTTTTCAGAAAATCAAAAAAAAAGTATAAAGGTACTTATTTTTTGAATTACTTATTTAATCTACGAATAACGATATTTATTATTTTGTTAAAATTCAAAATCATTAATCGTGGGAACAACTACGAAATTTTACATTTAAAAAAATCTTATGATATTCTTTTTACTGTTTATTACTGTTTTTAAATATTCTAACGAAAATGTTATGAAAACTATTCAAAGTATTAATTTTTTAATTTTATAGTAGGTACTTTTTGGAGTTTTTTTATAACCAGAAAAAAGATTTAAAAACCTCTTAGCTCATAATTTAAAAAACTTATATAAATTAATTATTTTTATAGCTCCCATCATGGATGCGTTTTAGTAACTATTAAATCGAAACATATAATGTCTATGCAGGGTATAGCACTGACATTAGGTCATCATTTTTTATCATTATTTTTATACCAATTTCGAGCTTATTACTATTGAATATGGATAGAGCAATTATTATTTCTAATATTTTTACCTGACGTAGGTGTATTGATTAAATGCTTTATTTCGATTTAAGTAGATAATTCGATTGGATAGAATCTTCTGTCATCAAATTTTAACATTGTAGAATTAAATAAACAAAAATATTCATTAATATATTTTTGATTTTACTTGATCAATTGATTTATTAAGCTATTGAAATTATAATTATATTTAATAGGCAAATATATATCTATAAATAATAAAAAAAATAGTATGTATTATATTCATATAATAGCTTCGTATTACGGAATAGGACACAGTAAATAAATAATTACTCTATAGATTATGAAATTTAGAAAAAAAAATGAAATTTAGCTATTCACATTTTTTGGTTAAAAGGTAAAATAAATATGAATTATGCAACTTATTTATTCAAAAATATTATTTAGATTTTTGAATGTCTATAGTGGGTCATTATATCGCAAGTATTTATATTACGTATATTGGAGCGTAAAAATAAATGCACTCCACACATTTTATTTGATAGTTGTAAATTAATAATTGAAACACTACATAGAGATTAGAGATAAAAGTTACACACTTTACAGTTTACACATATATTACACGACTAATTCACAGGTAATTCTGAAATGAAAAACAAATTCAAACTTAAGGCCATGCGAGATTACGGTCTAATCAGGTAATACAATCTTTCTAACTCGTTTAGATTTGTTTTAAGTTATTCATAAACATGATATTTTTTATATTTTTTTTAAAATATCGATGAAAAAATATTTCAAGATCAAAACTCTTAAAAACTTAGTACAAGATTTCTTATAAATCATTTAAAAATATTAAGGATTTATACGCATAGTTTTTTTTCATAAACGTCTCAAGTTTGAATTTAGACGAAATTAATTATTTAATTGACAAATAATAACGATTTTAGTAATCAAAAAATATTTTTTGTAGAAATTTGAAACTCTTACATTTATTATTATGTTTTATAAGTACTATGTCATTTTAAAAACAGTTGGATTCATTTTATGATGTTGCATATTTATACTACAGACCTTTTATTTTGTCCTACGGTTAGTTGGCTTATTTATTAACTCAAATGTTAATAGTAGTAGATCAAATAAAGTACATCATGGAAATAAAAAAAAATTTTTTTTAGTGAATGTCGTATTTTATTGTCGATCAGATATGTTTTTGCCAAAATATATAAACTTTTGCAAACATTTTAAGCATGTTTCGGCAATATACCATTCTAACTAATGATTTATAATTTAACCAACAGCTAGTAATACGTTAATATATATGATGGCATGAGTTATAATGAAAATATTCGAATGTATTTGTGTTTGTATTTTACAGTGATTGTGATTAAATTAACGTAAAGGGTATATAATTTTTATATGAAAATTTGTACATGTACTGGTTATTCCTGTTTGGTGGATGAAATGAAAAACGGCCTGGAAACCTTAAATTTTCGCTGTAGTAACTATCAAATACTGTTCAAGAGTTTTTTGTGCGGGGAGGGGTTGTGAATTAAGTAGAAGCAAATTTATAATCTATTTGAAACTTAACTTGGTGCCAGTCATTGATAGTGGAATTAATCTTTATGACTGATATACATGTAGCAGTATAGGTCTTGTCATCGAATTGACAGGTAACAAATTATCGGTGTGAATGAATACTTTGTATCTATGTTTTATGTTCACGGTGGGTTGGGGGGGGGGAAAGGTTTGATTACTTGGAATTGCAAATTCTACGGTCTATGTATAAGTAAGTTCTACTCAATGGGTGGTGCGTGACGGTTGCGGTTGTGGTGTGAGCGAACAAAGTTCCACGGAATGAAAATGCTTTAGATATTGAGAATTGAATCATTGTGAACCGTAGACTATGTAGGTAGTTGTATGGCAATTGCAAATGCGTGACGTTTACAAAGAGAAGTCATATTTATTAAAACGCCAAACCAATACCCTCTCCCTCGTTTCGTGTTAACAATGTGTAACGATGTGTATGAATTACGTAGACATCTACTACTTCCTCAATAGTTTTCTATTCAGTTTTTACTACCATTTTCTGAGTACATGTTATGTAGAACTACTAGAACTCAAAAGTATTGCACGAGTTATAATTTATACATGGTATCTAAAATTTAGAATAGAAAGTGATTTACCATCGAAACTGGAGAGTTTGGATTGATGGGGTTGAACGTGAAACATTATACTTTCGATTCTAACACATGATACAATAACGAACGAATAAAATGCGTAATGGCTTCGAATTTTTAATAGCCATCTTACCCATTATTGGATATATTTCAAAGTATTAAGGTATACCAATTAAAATTTAGAAAAGAACACGCGGTTAAGTTCAATTTTTCTTTGAGTAATGATGATTTAGTTCAATGAATTATATGAGATTAATTGCGGTACTCTAATAATAATAATAATATATATATATATATATATATATATATATATATATATATACAAAACGCTGATGACATCAGTTATGTAAAATAATCTACGAAAGAGAACTTAAACTTATACTTGCTACTTAAAGTAATTAGCATAATACGGTCGTATATTATGAGTAAACTAAATATCTGCATAATAATATATTAGTTATATTAAAATGGAATTCTAGGTAATATTGCTACAAATAAATAAATACATGTATATTAAATTCTATTTAGTAATTTGTTATCAACTGACTAAAGATATTATATATTGATGAAATAAATATAATCTATTAATATTTTTTATATTGGATACACATCTATAATTATAGGAATTAAACTATTTTAATTGTTTTATATTTATTATGTGTGATATATTAAATTTATTTTAAAATTAAATAATAATATAATTTAGTATTCGGTTAGGATACTAGACAAAACTAACGAGTTGAGTTAATTCATTTTACAGCCTATTAAAAGTTTAAAATGATTAACCAATTGTATTCAGTCATATTATAATGAGACTTTAGAACATCGAAATAAACTATGTAGAGAACTAATAATAATTTAACGTTATTTTTTTACACTTACCTAATCGTTTTTTACGTAGGTATTTAAAAATTAATATTATCAAATTTACTATGTAAAAGGCAGTAAAATTTTCAGTATTTAGTGTCAGTATCTTATTTTAAAATTTGTCTTGTGAAACGGACCAATATATTTTTATTCGTTCACTTTAATTTTTTAGCCTATCGATATTATTGAACTTAATTCTTCAGAATTAAAATTATTCTATCTTGGTATTATAAATTTTGTACAGATTAGTGTTGTAATACTAAATTTTATTTATAGTATATATTATTGTTATTTGGAGTTACACCCATTTTTTTTTTTTTTTTTATTACAGTATTAAAAATTTATTAAAAATTTTGTATTAATTTGCACTTAATTTCTTAGAAAGTTATTAAATAACTCAACTAAATATTAAATCAACTGCAAGTCATGTGTGGAACTCCCGTTTTCTCTATTTTTTTTTTCACAATAATAAGAAAATATTGGAAATTTAAGAAAAAAAATATAGAAATTGAAAATCTAAGTGTTTTTTACTATCTTGAAAGATGATAACAGGCTAAGTAAATATTTATTATTGTAAAATGTATATTGTATATATTCATCACTTTGTTCAAAATTTAAATAACAATATTGCTATGTTGTATAAGGATAATTTATCTCATTTTAAAAACGTCATAGAACTAAACTTGGTATATCCAAAAATTGTCAACATTTTGTTAAAATAAGTTCTTTCAAATTGTTTTCATCACCTATTTTTTAATCTTTTAGATTTTTCCGAAAATTACGTAAAATAAATTAAAAAAAAAAAAAAAAAATAGTCTGTTTGGAAATTACAGTATTCAGTTATATTCGGTAGCCTTGCAAGAAACTTTTAGGAATTTCTAACAATTAAAAAAATTAAAAAAAAAACACCAAAATACTATTTTGATATTTAATTAAATTAAACTTTTTATCTTGAATTATATTTTCATTTGTGCATAAGATATTAAATAGTTATTTTTAATTTTTTTAAATTGTTCTAAAATATCTGTGTATATTCTCTGCTAGAGTAATTTAAATAAATTAAAAACGTAACAGAAAAATGTTAAAATCAAAACAAGTTTTTATCATTTTACAATAAGTATTAAAATTAATATTAAATAATTTTATTTTTATTGTTTAGTTAAATACACTAGTCGAGAGAAACTTACCGACATTTCTACATACGGTATATCGATGATGGTTAGTTCAGCTTCTTGACCGTTTATCATCACTCTGATTGTCCGACAAGCGCAGTCTTCGTCTACAAATAAAACATGGACAATTTTACCCAGTATATGCGTTGCATTGTAATTGTAAAAAAATCAAATGCTATATTTTAATATTATATAATAGTATAACATTGCAATTGATAGTGCTAGAATTAAATATTAGTATTCATTAAAAAATTTGATATTATTGGTATAGTTGCATGATTTGATAATGACATTATTTGATATAAATTAATCTTGTAAATAATTAATAATTATACATATTATATGTTAGTCGAAGAAGATGTAATGGTAATAATTAAAAAAAAAAATAATTTTAATGAAATTTAAGAAAAATTTTTTTTTTATTTTAGTAATAATTTCAAGTTATGCTTATATTTATTTTAAATTCAGGATACCGATAAAAATAAAAATTTAAGGAAACTTAATCTAGGCTAATATAGAAAGAAAATATTTAAAATAAACATAAATATATTTCTTCAAAATATGATACAACTTATATTCAATGGTTTTCAAGTAACTTATCACATTTTTAGTGGAGTAAAATAACAACAAATTGAAATTCCCAAAATATTTTCTATGGAACATATGTAATGTTGTGTTATATTAACTATAACAACTATTTTATAACACAAATTTACTAACCATAATATTAATATTACATAGTATTATAAATTATTATGGAAAATAAAACATGACATTTATATTCTTACAAAAATATTTTTAAAACTAAAGGAATACTTTTTTATTATAACAACAGTGATTATTAATAATTGTATAATATTGTATTATTATTAATTTAAATTGTGGCAGGAAATAGTTTTAATATAATTATAAGTAAGAAAGTAGATTCTTCGGGTGATATTTACTTTTTGTTATTTTAAATTGACTTCGTTTAATAGTAAACTATATTTTATTAATTTATAAAAAATGATTATTAAATATCTTAATTTCTTCAATTATTTATTATGTTGTGCATATTATGTATTATACTGATTATAAATTATACAATAATTACGCTTTAGTATTTTTTACCGAATTATATGTATTTTTTAAAATGTAAAATGAAACAGTTTGATGTAATATGTACACTACTTATAAGTTATGAGTATCATATATAATTGTTGTTGTATAATATTTTTATAACGTTCTGTGAGGGATCGAACAAACATGTTGAAATGGAAAATTATTTATAAAAACATGTTAGATATTAGGTGAATATTATTATTTTATTATGTTAAGTGAGTAGTGCAGTTATATACTTAAGTATTTTTAACCTTATTCAATTTTTAAACAAGTTATCAACTACATTTTTATTTATAATTCATTTTTCTTTCTTTTAAATATATAATATTATGTTAGGAAATAAAAATAAATATTTTTTAATCATTGTTAAGTTTTTGTGTATCAGTTATTATTATTATCTGATAACTATATTAAAATAATAAAAATAATAATTGATGGTCTCGTTAATAAACTGTTACGATTTAAATTGGACTATTTTTAAATATTTGTTTAAGCTTTTAATTACCTATAGTAGGTTGTTGAAAAATTAATATCCTATTATATACAATTTCTTATAAGTTAAAATAAAATGTTGAAGTATTTTTCGAAAATTGATAAGTAAAATATCTAGAAAAAATATAGCAATAAAACAATTACATTTCCCATTATATTAAAAACCTATAGGAATTCACGAAAATTGTAAAATATAAAAGTTCCGACTTTCAGCAAATTTTCATGGAACTAGGTTTTATTTGTTTGAATTACATAAACAAAAGTAAAATATAAACTAGATATTCAACTTTTTGATTGGCTATAGAAGTTATACAATATATATTCCATTTAAGTGGACACATAGGTAGTATTTTTAACGCAATAGAATTTGGTTCCCAAAACAAATAGGTAGTCAATATTTTATCCTTAATAAGTACATTTGAATTGGCTTCCAAGAATTTACTATTGGCCCCCTAGTATTTTTTTTCAAAAACGTATTGGTTACTAAAATGTTGTTGATATTTTATAGTTAGACGTTATGTCCTAGAGTAGTTGACATCAGTATGATTCTTAATCTTAACACATGGTTTATAGAATCACATTCGTATACTTTACATCGTTACGCTGAGCGTTATATATAACAATTGCGTTGTGTTATATTGTAAAACAATTACATTCATCGATCCACTCAGAAAAAAAAGATATAATTATAACACTAAACTGTGAAATAAAAAAATACAAATTTTTGAATAATAATTAAATGTTTATAATTTTAACTGAAAAATATTTAATTACTATGCATACCATTACATACTAATTGCTTGTATTGTGTTTTCTAAGCACGTCATTTTAAAATATATCTATATTATATGAAATAATATAAAATTAAATTAAAAAATTTAAAAAACAAACAATATTACATTAGCGCAACATTATAAAATATACGTATATTAAATACAAGCAAGATTAAATTAAAAAAATTATGTTAGACTATTTTTCGTGGTCTATACTTATTGGCTAATATTAATTGCATGTATTGAAAACTTGTATTTACTTTAGTGTTAAATTTAATGGGGTTCATTTTTGTACGCTCGCGTGAACACAGCGTATCTACTAAATAAAGTATAATACATTGCTATTGTGGTCATCAAATATTAACAACCAAATAAATTAGTGAATAGGAGCCATCGATTATTGTAGTAGATTACGACGATTAAGGCGACAAGACTAAATCTAATAAATATGTATAGGCACATATATATATATATATATATAATATAAATATATCCTGCACTATATTATATTTGAGAGCAAATTTCCAAGCTATATTAGGTTACCGTCATAAAAGTAAACGCGTATTATATGAGAATCCCTGGTTAAATAATAATATTTTACAGTTTAAGGAGCCAATTCACGTATACATTTTTCAGGAGCCAATTCAAGGGTAGAATTCATATTTATCCAAAATTGGGAGCTAATTTAATAGAGTCAATTTTTAATTTATTAGATAATCATAACCAATTCTCGGCTAATTTATTTTAATTAATGCAAGTTGTGTACTTACATAACTGATATTGTTATCAATAGTTATTCGAGTTAAATTAATAAGCAAAAATTATGAAGGAATACTTGATAAACATAGTTTTTAAAAGTTTAAAATAAATTACACTTTGGTGAGCATTTGAATGAACCAATAATGTATTTTATTTTCAATTAATAGTTATTATTATATTAAGCTAAACTTTTGTATATATTTTTTTTAAAGCTTGTTAGTATTATTCTTTCACTATCTATTTTAATATAAGAAAATAATTAAATAGATTTGTGGTGATGGAATAAACAGTTAAAATAAATCAAGTTTGTTATCTTAATAAAAGAAAAAAACAAAATATAATAAAAATGATGATGACTGTAGCCTGTAGGCTTTAAAATGTGGTTAGATAACATTTTTATAAAACCAACAATGAATTGGTAACTATAGCAACACAAGTTAGGGCAGACTAGTGGTCACGACCAGAATATTAGTTATTCTGCGTAATACGTACAGAAACACAAGACTCAAGTAATTATAGAAGTATGCGAATTTCGCTTTAAACTTCAAATTATATGTGATAGTTATAATAATGTAACCGTATTACTTATTATACTCGAGAAATAATTAAAAAATGTATAATAGAAAATGCAATATGTTTTAAGATGAAACGTAAGCGAGCTTGTGTTTTTCTTGTTGAAAGAAATAGACAAACCAATAAATGATAATAAATAATATATGACATTTAAATAAATGTAATTATTTTATGTGACAAAATTATATCGTATTATTTTTATTATGTATCAGTGTTTATTCAATTTAAGCTTATAATTATTTTATTTTATTCATAAAATTGTAGAAGCCGTAGCATATTGTATTTAAAATATTATAATTTGTGATAGAAAAAATGCCAGTAAAAAATTTCTATTCTTTTTTTTCATGATTTATTAATATTTATTGTACATTAAATACAATTGTAGTTCAATAAAAACTCGTTTTAATATTTCATAATCCTTTGAATATTAAATCATAATTGTTAGTTTGATTTTAAATTGAATACTATATTTGATTTATCCAAGCCATTTAATACATTTTAGCTAGTGTAAAAATATAAATGTAATGCAATTTATTAATATGCATAGGTCGTGATAATGTAAAATATATAATATTGATTAAGCTACTTGTTAGTATACCCACTTTAAATATTTTAATCATGAAAATCTAAAATATATATAATATTTTGTATTTAAATACTTTAGTGATTACTAGATTATATAATATTATAATACTCTAACCTAATACATCAACAATAGAAATATTTTTAGATTGTTTTATATAGAATATATTTTCCTTAGGTGAATATGTAGATAACCAACCACTTTTCATCGCGAAACTATACCTCGAGACATTACCGAAATTACTTACCTATAGAAGTATCGTATACGCATATGTAATCTGATGTTGAAAACTGCACAGATATCGTGGTCTTTCCGACACCCGGGGCCCCTAGCAACGCCACCTTGTACGATTCTACAGTGTCGTTGGCTTTGAATTTGTTTGTCAACGCCGTACTGAAATATAAAATAAAATTATTGGATCGAAACGTAAAAGCAGAACTGGAAGAGTTCTTGAGAGAATTTTTTATAATAATTTAAACGCATTTGAAAATCACAAGTTGTCAACGTTTATTTTTGAGTTATTTACACATCACACGAGTGAGATATTTATTTTTCGTAGAATAAGATATATGATATTTCAATATTTTAAACAAAATAGAATACGAGTATAATACATAGTTTATTGAAGTAAATTTAGACATTTTCGTGTATAATGACATTCAATCACGAATCACAATATCGGTAATAACGATATTATTGTATTGTGATTGTCGTCTTTAACGTTATAGATAATTTTGATAAATCGATATTTCGAGAGTACCCGTGTTTATTATTATATGGCTTATTGAATATTAAAATTCGGAATACTGTACTGTGTACCAAAATTAGGTTTTCTGAGATACACGTAGTTGAACCACTTAATATGTTGTTAATATAAAATAAAATTCTAAAAAACACTAATTGTAATGCGTTTGTTTCGTGTTATTTGATTTTGATAACTGGTGAATACATTTTTTTTTATATTTAAATTTTTAGATTATAATCGTTTATCTAAACAAGTGATTTTCAACCGATGTGTCACGGCACACCAGTGTGCCGCGATAAATCTATAAATGGAGTTAATTTTGTATATATATATATTATATATAAAAATATATGCTTCACGTATTATATGATTTGGTGTGCCGCAAAAATATTGTTGCTACATTGTTAAGAAGGTTGAAAACCACTGATCTATTCATATATTGTCTAATGAAAATTATAAAAGTATGGAATATTGATTTCTAAAAGTCTAGTTGAAAAATCCAACACAAAAACTATTTGAAAATCTTGATCTCCTCAGAATATAACTTTTATATTTAAAAACTATCACCATGAATTAAAAAAAAAATATATTATCAGTTGAATACTATAAACCATGGGGTCAACGTCAATACCAGATATATGGCTAATAATTTTACATTAGACCAGCCTACAAAAACTAGATGCCGAAAAGTATTCTATTTTATTAAGACTCAGAAATTCAAATTAATGCTTAGTGGTGTGGTCAATATGCCGCTTTCTCACTTCAAAAAAAAATTTAAAAAAATTTCCACTGGCTCCAATATGAATATGACATTATGATAATGTGACTAAAATTAAATATATGTAATATACTAAATAACATTTGTAACTTATACCTATTTAAAATTATTATGTTTTTATGTATTTATATTCATTAAGATTACTTGTAAACTGAGATAACCCTGGTCTTCCATACGAGTTTTTCTTAATGAGGCTTAGTAAGTTTTTTTATATTAATTTTAGTAAAAAAAAAAAAATAAAATAAATTTTAAATTATGGTATTACAATTATATTATACAAAGTTAATATTTTAGAATGATTGTGTTGGAAGTTTTGTACGATATGCAAATGTGAAATGCTTCGATTAATTATTAATTAATGTGAAAGCTTTTTAGGCTTGGCGATTAAATTTAATTACCTGTAATCATAGGTGTACACAGACATTGTTCACAGGTGCTGCATTCTTTCCCATGTTTTATTAATCACTCTAACTACTCATTAAAAATGTGTGCTTATTTTCTAAGTGACTTTTAAAAAAAAAATAGTTATGTACTTATTTTAAAAGTTAATTTTTTTTAAAGATCATTATATTTTTTTATTTATTTTAAATTACAACAAAAAAAAATAAAAATAACAATAATAATAATTTCCACAAATTATAATATATTTTTAGGGGGTTTTGGTTAGGGGCTATTATAATATGCAATTAATGTTATTTTTAAAGATGAAATTAAGATCACGTGTACATTACTACACCACTACTATGTAAGTTTATATCTATAGAAACTACTGTCAAATTCACTTATTACGATCTTCAAGGGACCAAGAGAATCTGATCATTATAACCGAACTTCGTTATATCCGGATTATAAAATATAACAACACATAAGATATAAAACCAACCAAATACATTGCTTGGAATCGTTTTACCCGGAATATCGTTGTAAACGGCATTGTTATAAGCGAATTCGACTGTAGTTGGAATTTAACTTTTAATAATTATAATATGGCCTGATAATTTATTGTAATATAAATTTAGATGGTAATTATGTAACAAATATGTTTAGTCTTAATAATTAATTTTAATATTACAATTAAAATGGTGCACCAATATGTTATTACTTATTAGATAATATAATATGTTGGCGAAGTATTATAATTAAAACTAACTAACCGACTTTATGAATAGAGAAAAAACACAAAATTATGAAAATATAATATAAAAATACATGTCACATCGTACATAAATAACACAAATTTACTTTTTTATTATTTTACTATTTTTTTTAGTTATTTACTATTTTGATATAAAATAATATAAAGTTATATATTAAAAGGATTACTCAGCAGTAATACTTTAGGCATGATAAATAAGTAATATGCAGGTAAGTTAAACCAATGTATACTTAAATATAATATCCTTAAAATCAAAGGAACAAAAGATAGGTAAGTGGTTATTGTTTTGCTGTACATTTGGTGATGAGTGAGTAACATAGTATAGTGTTAAATATATCATTACATTCGAAAAATGATTCTGAAGAAGACAATCTGTTAGATTGTATTACCGTGTATATTTCATAAAATTTTTGATATAGTCGAAAATATTGCTCTTACTTTATTATTAATATTTAATTATTTTAATAATAAATATATATTTATAAAATACTATATTAATGTTATTCAATTTTAAATCAATATCAGACACAATAGTAAGTACACAACGATAAAATAATAAAAATATAATTAAATACGCATAATGAATTCGTGATTTATATTCAAAATTTGTTTTTGAATTTATATCACAAACGTAAAGAATGTATATGATAAATTTATAAATTTATCAATAATAATGTTTCGATGAAAAATATAGATGAAAAATTTTAAATTAATATTTGTTACATTATAAAAATTCTTGGAAATCATTGGGTATTTTATAATAGTAAAATTATTTACTAACATCATTGATCGATTTACGATTACGTTTAATCACGAAAAAACAACCCAATATGAGTTTAATTACCTGGGCTTTCGGAATCTGGAGAATTCCGTGCAGACCGTGTGCGAGGTAGCGGCAGCGGCGGCGGCGGCGGCGGAGGAGGAACCATTTGCGTTTTGCTGGTGCAACGGCGTACCGGAAACGGATGCGGGGCAACTTTCACGCTTCCCGACCGGTTGATGATGTCGAGTAGACGACGATGGCGAGGCATATCGTACGAAGTCACCTAAGTTGCAAACGCCACTAGCAGTAATCGAGAAGCTCCGTAGGCGATACTCTTCTAACACTGGGCCATCAGGTCTAGGCACATTCCCGAAACTCGGCTATTAGAAACAGATTGAAAAAAAATCTTTGTTATTTTCTAGTAGTGGGGTCATTTTGCTATTTTTTTTTTAATTGCTCATGTTGAATCGTGATCCATATATAAGTTCTCTACAGTAGTAATCAGATATCCCTATTTCCAAATTGTGGTTTAAATTTATCCTTTTATATTTTTCAATTGCTCATAAATAAAAATAACATTAAGTGTAATCACAAATAATTTCAATTTAAATCTATCAGTTTTAAAATAGTGTGATACATCAATTTTATTCATAATGGTGGTAAACTTGTGATTATGGTCAATTTGTTTTTGCGATTTCGTTAAACTACATTTTATTCAATACATTTTTTTGATTTTTATTACACATGCAAACATTTTTTAACGTGTAAATATTATAATGCACTTATTTCAAAAGAAAGGAAAAAAAATGTTTAATACTTAATTTAGTAATTAAAATCGAAAATGAAATTGTGCTAATGCATGTTCTGATATTCTATACAATATCATATATTGCGACGTAAGCTTAAGAATATATATATATATAGCAACACATAATAGAATGAAAACAAATGAACTGTAATATAGTATACACGAGAGGGAAGATTTGGTACGTCCAATACTTAATAATATACGTCATCATAGGATTGTATACGATGGCTGACTACAATGCATATCATAACTTATACATTTATATGTGATAAAATGTGTTTCACATATAGGGATAATGCAACTCATCTCTATAGACATGAAAAACGCAACTAAACAAAAGTTTTAACTAGATAATCAACTGTATAAGTTGCAAATGACGATGATATTGAAGCATGGGATGCGATGCAATGTCCAATCAGGTGACAGGAACGTGATCATCTCACGTAAGCATGTACCATGAGAACAAGACGACCTGCGTTATTTGATCATCGGGGACTTTTTTACCAAAGAGTGAGAAGTAGAATATACGTGTATTATATAAACAGAAAGGCGGGAAATCGCCTATACTTAAACAGTTAAACGTGATATATTTAAAGATAATGAGAGAACCTTAACTTCTTTCAGAAATTATTTAATAACTATTTTGGACCAGAAAAAATGTCAAGCTAAATCATATTTTTTGAATATAGATAAATAACGAATCAAATATTACTTTTTTAACTTAGAAAATGTATAACTAAATTATATCTTCTTAGCCCAGAATAATTTGAGTAAGTGTAATATGTTGCGTGCCAATATCAGATCCAGACTCAGGGTGCTATTTAAATGAAATTTACAACTCTTAAGAACAATAATGTGTTTATTGCGTATAAATAAAGTACATGTAACTGATACAAAAAGTGGCTGAGTGTTGTGAAGGTGCTCAGGTCTTTGTGGCTCTGGTACATCTGCTGTTTCTGGTATCTGGGCTCCCTTATATATGAAAAAGCTTCTTGTTATTGTAGTCCATAGCCTTGATTTCCATATATATCCTTGGAGTTGTTTTGATACTTGTTTTTGGTAAAAACAATATCCAGGATGCAATCTGATTCTAATTGCCAACACGTGCCAATGCAATGTGTTGTTGCATATGGTAACCTTAATAATGCATTTCACTCGACCTCGGCACGCGTAATGCACTATTGCGATGTTTGTTATGTTGTTGTTGAGAAGTAGATAATTACATCCGAAAATAAATTATGATCCTAATGCAACGAGATTCATAATAATAATATGTATCTACTATCTTGTGTTATGATCTGTAAGAATATGTTTACTCCCCAACACTTGTCATGGTCATGCTAATACTTATATTAGCAATAATATATATTATATTATATATACTTATATTTAACGATATATCTCGTAGCCCATAAAAAATAAATACCACTCAAAATATTTTCGATTATATTTTAAAAGGTGATTTATACTACTTTTAGATTTAAATTTTTTTACAATTACAAGTTACATAATTTTTTAATGGTTGTTAGTATGCCAGAACTTCCACATACTACAATAAATTGGAATTTTATTGAATAATTTCTGATTTATTAAATTTTAAGTGTTAATAAGTGCGCATTTGTATCAATTTTTCGATTTTTTGTGGTAGTTTTTTAGTGTCGTTCTAGTATCGTTGTTGAAATCGATGTACAAATTTAAGGGATCACCGAGCCATATATTACGTATATTAAGTCTAAACTAAATAACAAAAACTTAATGTAAAAAAACACGTATTATAAAAGTATTTAACTGGTAGTCACGGTTTTAGGAAGTCTTGCGAGTGTTAGTCAGAAGAGCTGAGTCACAGAAAAAAAAAATTACTAATAAATATAATATTATAGTTATGACGATAGTGATTTAAAATTCATTATAGTGACGTTACGAATATTAATATTTCATTTTATTCTAAGCTAAGAGAATTAATATTGATGTTTTGTCTATATTGTATAATTATTACATTTTTGATCTGATTTGAGGGAAGGGAAGAGGGCTAATTTTCAACTAAAGGCTTAACTTCACTCTATTTGCGTCAACATCGTCAAGACCCTGGCTTTATACTCTGATGCTTCAAGAATGAAGTTGTAGCACTGATTGTAGTATGTCATACATTTTAAAATGTAATAAAATATATTCTGTACTCGCATAGTTAATTTTTGTTATTTGTCAGGATTCACTTATCAGTATATAATAAATAATAATGTGAACGAAGGATCGAGAGCGTTCGCATAATAAGCTCGAAATTATAGAAATACATTATAAATCTTGAGTTTTAATTTTAGAATAATTCACACTTCATAGCCTCATAGGTTCACTGCCTTTTTGTTAATTCTTAACTAATACCGTTCTTCATTAATCATAATACTATACATTTTTTTATTTATATATTTTAAACGTAACTTTTGATGACCTTAATCGTTGTCTGATGAGTCTATGCCACACTGAGTAAAAATAATATGAGATTTACTGATCTAGGTATGGTGTGGCGACATTCCACGAGTGTGGGTGTTCACTGATGACTGTGCTAATTATCGCGGAGTCTTCTCCACTGTTATATTTCTATTCGTGTCGCACACTCTTACCAAACACGCATCGCTCTTTATTATATATACCACGATGCGGGCTGGAAAATCTTGTCAGCAGTTGGTCTCACTCATCATTCCTTATCCTTGCACTCATTATATTAATAGTGATCTACATAGGGAACAATGTACTATGTCGATAGACGGCAGTAGTTACTTTATAATTCACTGAATTTCATAAGCTAATAAGCTATGTCTAAATTTTAGAGAGGTAGAATTCATGATCTTTTATGCATGTATTTATATACTTAATTATAGCTGAGAAAGACCAAGCACTATCAGAACCAATACCAATCAATTATTAATTATTAACATTAATAAAATAATATATACAATTATAAAGTAGGAATCTATTATTATGGATTATTGCTGTTTATTTCACTGTATTCACGTATTGTAATGTATGTGTATACTTAAATTTTTCATGATATTTTTGTAAATATCAAGTTAACTTTAGTGAAATAGTCATTTTTTGCGCTATCCGTTTTATATGTTTTATCTGATTTTTTAAATTTAATTTTTTACCTTAAAAATGTGTTATAATATAATCGCAAATATTGGATTATATGACATTGTATACTATTATACAATACAATAACAACAAATATAATTATTTATAAATTATTATAAAATAAAACAAAAAAGATTTTATTTCACTTTATTTTTTAACTAAATGTATACATCAGAGATAGCGAACCTTGTTTGGGACGTTTGAGTCAAGTGTCAAATTTTTCAAATCAAGGTTTTGAAAATTTTTCACATGCCCAAAGGAAATTCTATTTTCTAAGGATAAAAATACAATTACATAATAAATATAGAAATAATATAGTAATATAATACATTTTACAAAGGAATATTATAATTTGTTTCTTTGAATTTTTATAACCAACATTTTATAAATAACGATCATTTTTCATAATTTTAATTTTTCACGTGCCATGAAATTTAACCAATGTGCCGTCTCTGACACGCGTGCCGTAGGTTTGCCACCTTTGGTATACATGATTATGATGAATTTCAGTTCATAAAATAAAAACAAAGAAAAATTATATTACTGTGAATACAAGTAATAATAATGAGGAAATAATTGATAATATTAAACAATATTGATAATAAGTTATTTTAAATTTTATAAAAAAACAAAAACAGTTTGTAGCATAAAAAAAGTTGTATTAATTCATTTTTATTTGTTGAAATTATTCATGAAAAATTTATTTTCATCTAAGTAAAATACGTTTTAAATCACATTTTGACGAAATGTATATTTTTTACAATTTTGTAGAAGTTGAAGTTTATACTCTGGAAGTCGTCTATGTATTACTCATTTTATAATTCTGATATTTAACTGAGTTAATTAATATGTGATAAAAACTGTTACGACAAAGTTTTATTTAAACTTAACTTAGCTATTTTAGATTTTGAATGGAGCAATATGCATGTTAACTATTTTTTCAGTTGTGCGAGTATCGTAATATTACTATCTCATTTTTTTCCTGACCCCTATTACGAATCCCTTTAAATGTTTAATACTATTTTTTTTTTTTAATCTAAAATAAAAATGTTAGACTGGTCTATCCTTATTATAATGTATACAGAGAAAAAATAATAATTAAAAAAATAATGAAGATTTTGTGATCCACTATAATATGTAACAAATATTTTTAATTCGTGTTTAGCCACATATGTATTAAAAAGTATAAAGCTTTTCTAGTCTGTACTCAATTATATCTCTTTATATTATGTTTGTAGTTTATTCAATCATTTTTTTCTAATTGATATTTTTTAAAAATTATGATTTTAGAAAATTATTATTTTATGATGAGTCCATAATTACTAATGTGTATAATATTTTTTAATTTATTTTAAATCAAAATAACTATATATATATTTTAATAATTCGATTTGAATAATTTATATAGTTAATAAATATAAATCTTATAGTAGTTGAATTACT